GCAGGATGCCTTCCCCGCTGCTCCGGCACGGCTGTGCCCCTGCCACCAGTCCCTGCCACCAGCCCCGTCACTCCTTCACTGCAGGAGGCTTAACAACACCCCAAGGGAAAAGTCAGAACTGTTTCGCTGGCTCCGGGATGCCCTCGGTGGAACGACACCGGGGAGCAGCGTAGGGTTTAATTGCAGGGTGCTCACAAGTGCCCCGCTCCTTCCCCAGGGGCTGGGGTTAAAAACCACCCAGAGATGGGGAAGGTTTGCGTTCCCCATCCCCTGTGCTGTCTGTGCACCTGAGACAGCGCGCTGGGATTTCAGTGGGATGCCTGGATTCTGCTTCCTTTAGTACTCAGGGAGCTGGTAGGGACTCTGAAGTGTGAGTTTAATGTGTATATCCTTAAAGTAAAAACTACTGCCTTCGTTAGCTTGAGTCCTTGTCACCAGGCACACAGCATTTGTGACACAGATTAACACGGAGGCTGAACTCTGAGTTTAATCTCTTGTTTATTTACCTGCTTTTGTCCAGCAATTTCCATCTGTGGCTTGTAAAGTCCGAGAGGTGCCGAAAAAGCTTTGAAGAATGGGTAAGAACAACCAATCCTCACTATGCTTAAATTCATCAGGGATACACCTTCACTGGAAACAAAGACTATTGAACAGAGAAGGTGGAAGTCACTGTAACTTCAGCTCCTCTGTTTTGCTTAGAAGCAGCCTGACTGGTGGCAGCACCTCCATCTCCTCTAGCCTCATACTAGAGGACATGGCACACGGCAGCTTCTGCCTCCCTGGGTCCTCCCAGATTTTTTTTTTCACCTTTAGGTCCTCCCAGATTATTTTTTTGCCTTGCCCCATTGTAAGCTCCGTTGCTGCGGTAGCTGTTTGGGAAGGCTGTAACCGCAGCTGGCTTTTCACCTGGGTTAGACAATCCGAGCCATTTGCCATGGCTCTTTCTTGCAGAAAATGGCCCATTGGTTTGAAGGTGTCGTTTAAACCCAGGCTGGAGGGGTATGGATTTAGAAATCATGCCTTCCTCTATCTCAGGCTTGAATGCAGTCGCTGTGCAATGAGGAAGCACAAACAGTCCTGTGCTTTTTAGTAGTTCTAAAAGGAAATTATTTGACATCTGATGGTGAAAAGATCCGAGAAGGTCTCAGTAGAGAGGCCCAGGGAGATGTGCCCACACTTGGGTAAGGATATAAATTGTGAGGCTGTAGGAATACTCTGCAGTAGGCTTTATGGGAAATGAATCCAGATGCTTATGTCTGAGTGCCATCTGCCCCCTTCAATTAATTGTAGCATAGACATAACCTTAGACCTGGCTTCATTTTCTGCTCTGGTTTGACATTATATCTCAGTTAGAGACAGTACAAAGTGAAGGAGGAAAGCCAACTCATGCACAGTATTCACAAGAAGGATGCAGTTACTGTGAGGTGACACCTAGACCAAAGATCTCCCAGTTTATAAAAATCAAATCAAACCAACAAGATGGCAGGGAGGGGTATAATGGACAAGGAAAGCAGTTTATGTTGGTGAAACAGCTTTGGCTAGGTTTGAAAATAATGCTGTACCTCTAAAAGATATCTAAAAGTTGGCTAACGATGACACAACCTTCCACAATTGATTTAGTGCCCTTCTTCCAGTACTTGTGGTTCTGTGCTGTCTTGCTTCCAAACCAAAACATCCTTTAATGTAAATCCCCTCTGTGATCAAGACAGTTGTCTTGTCCTGCGGAAGAGAAGTGGCAATCTACAAAGTACAACATCCCCCAAAAGAGTTGCTGTATGTGTGCAAATACCTACATACCTTGGCTCTTTTTCTGAGGGTGTTCACTAACGTGTCCCTGAAGAAGGAAAGGGGGAAAAAAAATACTTGATGTCAACTTGGTGTCGTTGCCCACCAAGTACGAGGCAAGGAAGCCTATTGTTCCTGCCTAAGGAGGAGGCAACTGCTGCTGCTTACAGCTTGTTGGACAGGATTTGAAGTGCTTCACCTTATCAAGGAGTCATGGTGGCGTCTAGGAGGAGGAGAATTGTGCTTTCAGCACCCACTCAGAGGGATATTGGTGTTCAGGTCACAGGCTGTGAGGAAGGTCATAGCTTTTCACTGGTAGCTGGGAGCAATCCTGAGGATGGCTGTGTGAGGTGCGAGCAGGCTGATGACCTGCTCCGGCAGGGGGATTGGACTAGATGATCCTTTGAGGGAGGTCCCTTCCAATCTCTAACATTCTGTGATTCTGTGATCCCTCTCCTTGAGGTTTCTCTTTTTGAAGAGATTAAAAAATCTGATATGTAAGAAGTGGTAGTACCTTCTTTTTCTTTCACTGACAACTCATGAGGAGATCCATTCTGGCTTGCTCTCCGATTTCCAGGCTGGTAAATCCGTTTGACTCCTGTTTGCCTTGGGGTCAGGGAAACATTTTCTGAGGGACGTGAATTGCTGAGATGGTTGGGTCAAGTCTGGGCTGGTCTCTGTTCAAAGCTTCTCTGTTCTTCGGAACATAATCCCAAAGGTAAATCTAGGCTGGCAATTTCTTATGGTCCCTGCCTGCTTCGTTAGGGATCTCTGGACCTTTGACTCTCTCCATTCACACATGCTATTTGGTTGTAGGGTGAATATCTGGAGCACCTCTTGCCAGACAAACTCATGGCCCACAGGAAAGCTCACACTGCGAGCTCTGCTCCTTGGACCACACAATGGAAACTGTTCCTGTGCAACTCAGGAGGGTTTCTCTGAGTCTCCCTTGCTCTGAGAAGCCCCTAGATTGTGGAAACTGCTTAGCAGTGTGTTGTGAAAGCAG